CTTACATCATCTTGTTCCGACCACTGGTGTTACCTTCCGATAGAGTTTGAGCTCGCCACAATACCTACTTTATCTTTGTCGCCAGAAAACGTAACTTACTTTCCTCGCATGCTCTCAGTACTACATCAGGTGCTTCGTGCTTATGATTGTCATTTAAAAATATTTTAGATGGCGGTGAAAAGGCAGCAAAAATGTAGCCAGCATCATGATCGTGTGCAGTCTCTCTGAAAGCATTTTTCCTTGTGATATTTTATTATGTATTTTGATGTTCTACTCACTTTGTAGTGAATCGCTTTCTCTATGGTATGCACAGTTGCATATCTTTAATCTTGGTATATTCCCCATTGTACATCACGCTGTTTTCTTTGGGAACATTTGTTGTGATATTTTTTTTAATGTCATAATGAGTGCCTTTTCTTATAATTTACTTATCTGAGCATTTTTTTTCACCTTCTCTTAGTCTATCATAGGGAACATCATATTCCCTATAATACACTACGTCACTTACCTTTGTTTTTTTTAGATATTCAGTTAGGTATTTAACATACTAGTCATTTTGTAGTCTTTGGCCCGATGTCCTAAGCTGTACGTCAACTTCCCAAATAAAGCATTATATATACAGCTTCTGTCATTGTCGAGCAGATTTTACTTTAACACGCATTTTTCCCAAAATGAAAAATAATCTTTTGATCAGATATCCTTTGTTAAACATGATGGGAAAAACTGATTCTAGTATTACAATTACAAAGAGGAACACACATTACGGGACGAAAGCTGACTTACAACTGTGGTGTACTGTTGACACACCTACGATCAGTCATGAGTGGCACCAGATAGTTGCACAGTTCGCACTACACCGTTGGCCAGCACTTTCGTTTGTGTTTCATCTGCTTGATAAGATATATTTCCTTTTATCCTTTCCGTGTACTATTAAAACTACAGTTCAGTCACCTTCATCCTCTTGTGTGTTTCACTTATTCATTGTCATACTTAAAGCTGTTTTTTCCCCTTCATGTTGAGTTCATACCAACTGGCCCAATTTGCTATGTAGTAAATAACAGAAGGTATAGTACCTTACTCTTTATATTTTTTTATGTTTCACTAAACATAATTGTCCCTTATGCTTAAAGCCCTAGCCGGTTGTCTCTTGACAGAGTTTTATATGGACACTGTCCATATAAAACTTTCACTCATTTGACGAAGTGCCCACGTTAAAGCGCTCTCCAAAAGTAAGGCCATCGTCACCATCTTTACTATAGTGTTTGGGAGGAGGCTGAGCGGGCTGCTGGCTGTTTGGTTAGTATTACATCTCGTCTCAGTAGCAATTGCAAAGCTGATATGTTGCTTACATATAGTTAAATTTTAATGTGAACTTTGGTGGTGACAAAGAAATCCTGCAACCCCATGCCTGGAAGAAAACCAGTTGGATATTATGAATGCATCATGTAAGTTTTTGTCTATACTTGCGACTTTCTTTGTGGGCCAGCATTATCAGGGAAGGGAGAATGCTGAACCTTGTGATGCAAGCAAGATTGTGTGCAGAGCTGTGATTAGCATCCATTGATGGCAAGCAAGAGGTTTTGTGTTGTGATCACTGTGAAAGTACATGGAAGTATGTGTGGTGATGTGTATGCCTTCATTTCTCGGCAACTGTGGTCATTGAAACGATGACGGCTGGTGAAGTTGCACAAATGGAATAGCCATCAAACAAGAAATCTGTGATCCTGGTGGGCCTGCGATAGTATTGCCTTTACTTAAATACTGCCCCCCTCCAAGAGCCTACGGAATTATATGACCTTGCCAGTGGCGTCTACATGCCCATGTCATTTATTACGTACATCAACAAGTTCCTGTAATGTCAGCCCATTTTTTTTTCTCTTTTTATCATTCACATTTTAAGATGTCTGGTTATTGCACTATCGCGAAAAGAGTTAACACGGGAACGGGGTTTTTTTTCCGAGGAGTGCTTACCTGGTGACTTGCAATGTAACTAGAGCTGATCTGGGCCAGTCCACCTGGAGCGTACGGGGAAGGCGGGGGAGGGGGGGGGGGGGCAGCGGGGCAGCCGGTCAACGCAAGCGAAACGCCGCTCTCCATCTCTCTGCGTGCTAGCGTAGTTTGGGGAAAAGGAAGAGATGATTCCGCAAAAAAAAAAAAAAAAAAAAGAAACAGGATCGCTGAGCAAAACATCGTTTCTTTTAACAGCGTTCAACGGCGTTCCTCGTTTTTTTTTTTTTTTCGCCCGGCAGTTTATTTTATTTGGGCGGCCGCAGCGGACTTACAGGCCACCCCAGCCCACCCACCGTTGAGAGTGTGTGGCGTAATCTTGAGCTCCGCGTGTCGCTCCTAATAGCCGATTCACACGACGGACCGATTCGCGATTTTCGTCCGCGGACCGTGTACCACGTGACCGGCACGTCACCCATTCGTGCGATCCGCGCCTCGCCCGCGGACGCGCGTACTGATAAAGTCGAGCGCCTATTCCACTCGCGGACGTTTGGTGGGAGATTGACTTGGAAAGCATTTAGTCTGGCAATGGTACATGATTTTCTTGGTTTTTTGCTTCTAGGCATTCACAACAAAAATGGCGCATCGTTGTGTTTTGTCCGTTCGTTGGTTCATCTTGTCGCGCGATTCTTGGTTCGACACGTGAAAGAAACTCCAGACACTTTGTCCAGCTGACGCGACGCAGGTTCCGGTGCTCCTCCGGGTCCGTTTCAAGAAGGTCCTGTCAAAACTCATCTAGCACGCCGCGATAATTCTTGCACGTCCAATCAGGATTTCACCGAGCAAGACCTCTCTTGTGGATGCGGTATGCTTGAGTGTTTTGCACGAGCGCAGAGTGCGTGAAGGCATCTCCAAACGCCCCTCTGCGAGCCCAGAACTTCGTCGCGTCTACGCCGAAGCTTTCTCGAGCAGGACCATGCCTGTGTCACTGTCATACCACGTGGTCATACTTTGGGTTAGTAAAGTTAGTGGCGCTTCGCGCGAAGCCTGTCCCGGTGTTTTGTCTCGATCTGCACTTAACAGCGACGTAGGATTCTTTATCGCCGTAGCAAACGTCAATTTCTCTCTTGGACAACGGTGCCACGGTGCGATGTTGGAGTTTCGCGGCACTGTAGGGTGGCGAAGAGGTGCGGTCCATCCTCGCTGGCGTCTGTTCGTGGTCTCCCTCGTGTGAATGCGCTTGGGAGACGAACGAACCGCGGACATGTCGTCACGTGATCAATCCGTCCGCGGATTAGTCCATCGCGCGAATCGGCCTTAACGGGTAGGTCAGGTGATATTTTCCCGGCGCTGGGGGCCCGCAGCTTCCGCTGCTCTCTGACTCGGCGTTTCGCTTGCGTTCACGCCTCCCCCCCCCCCCCCCCCCGTGCCTTTGCACGTCAGCTTTTTCGCAAGTCACCAGCCATGCGCTCCTCAGGAAAAAACGCAAGCTATCATGATGATGTTAACTCTTTTCAGGATAGTACATATACTGTTAGAGAGATACCAGCTGAATGCTTTTCTGAGCATAACTATGCCGCACATAACTGGCAGGAGCACGGCGGTGCAGGGCTCATTGCCTTAATAATTATTGCATGGCTTAATTACTTTTTTCCTGTTGGCGACCTTTTGTGTAATGATGCTTCATTGCGTGTTGGGTTGTGCTCACGGGCTCATTCTGTTTTGCTGACAAGTTAATAGATATGGCGGTTCATAAACATAACCAGAGGCCACAGGTCTACGAGCCTCCACCACTAGCAACTGGAAAATATATAGGCGATATTGCATTCAACTTCCTTTTGCAAAACCATGACAAAACATGCTTTTCTTGACATAATTTTGTTAATGTATTGGAGCACGCGTTCGATACCAAACGATCGTTTAATCGTGCGCCGGTGCTCACCCGGCGATCGGCACTGAGGCCCTACGTGGGTCTTGGACTTCGCGCGATGCCCTTAGCCGTTACGGGCGAGACACCGTCGCGTTTGATCGCGCCTTGGCAGAATCACGTCACAGCACCCGCCAAAGCCAGTCGCTCGCACTCGTAGCCACTGCGGTTTGTCCATGACCGCGTTGAAATAATTGTGCCCTGGCGAAAGCGTGAGCGTAGTTCTGTGTGGCGAGCGAAACTTGTGCGATAGCATTTGCGATACTATCGCATTCTTCTCCGCGCAACGATTTCCACAGCGGCAGCGGGCTGCGGTGATCTAATCAACCGCCGGGTCCCGGAGGACCTACATCCTACCGGCATGCCGGAGCCGCGGGGCTCTGGTAGAGTGTAGCGCGGCGGAGCCGCTAGAATCTACCAAACCCAGGCAGTTCCGCCTGCATACCAGTGGCTCTGCAGCATTACGGAACAAGTCTGTTCCGCCTGGACCGGAAATTGGGGCACCAGTTTTTATCCCTTCTGGAACTGCGTGGTTTTAGGCTGGATACAAACTGGTGCCCCAATTTTAGATCCAGGCGGAACTGGCATTTTTCATTCCGGCCTGAATCTGGCATTTTCGTTTGGGAAAGTTCTGATAGTTTACGCGCATTGGAACGCACATATGAATGCACCCTAGGTTTAAAATTAAGCCATAGCTCGTCCACTCCAATGAAGGGGTTCCTAGCAACGTCCTGAAATGTATCGTAGTTAAAGCCTTGAGCTTCCCAACCCAAAATATTTATTTCATTCATCTTAATGAATGTATACATGAAATTTCAGTTGAGTTACAGCCACTGAGAGATTAAAAATGTACGGCTTGGCTTATTATCTTCACCCCTCCTGCTTCTCCCTTCGACTTTTGTATTGGGGCAAACTCACTGGCGATAATGCTACAAGAAGATGGCCGAGACTCGAAAAAGAAAACAGCAAACATAAAAACGCGGTGTGTTACGTTTATGATTGAAGTTTTGCTTTCGGCTCTCTCCAACTATGTAGTCGAAGACAGCAAAGACAATGATAAACAAGACAGAAATCGATCTTATCAGTAACAGTGGAACGAAGTAATTATGGTTTATTATTTGACACATTAAACAGACACAGTCATCTCAGCAGCTTCTTTCCGGTCTAGAAGCCAGTCCACATTATCCCATAGCCTTGGCACAGAAGTACCCTCCATTTCTTTGAAGAACCTTTGCTCTAGCCGCCGGGACTGTTCTTCTGAAAAGTGATTCCTCCAGTCTCCAACGACGCCTTTCCTCACGAATTGCGCATCCCAATCCTTCGTCATCTTCGTCACACTCGTACTGTCAATTACAGCCGCCATTTTTGCTTCGTCTTCCGCAAGCGCCTTAGCGAGTTCGTCATCGACGAAACCAGCGATCTTGAGCACCGATTCCTTTATGTCAGCATGAATCGACTCGTACGTTAGGAACAGCACGTTAGGCTCGTCTTTCTTGGCGTACCAAGACAAAAGGTTCTCATAGTGGCTGCCAAAGTCCGTGAGGCCCTCAATGAAAAGCTCAAAATACTCGTCAAATGTTCCATCTTGAAAGCCGTAAGCAGGCAATTTTTTTGTGTGATGGTAATAAGACACGCAGCAGTCTTTAGGGTTCCTAGCCAGGTAGATGTACTTTGTGGACGGCGAGAAGGGCGTCAAGTGGAAGGGCAGATGAGTAACAATGACTCGCGGTCTCTCGGCGTTGAGGATGCCGTCCAGACCGTGCATCTCGAGAAAGCTCCAGCCCGCACTGACACCCCTGACGACTCGGAAGCATGCTCTGACGATTTCTAATATCCAGTGAGTGCCGGCTTTGGGGACGGTGACCAATACGATGTCGGTCTCCTCCGGTTGGTAGCGTAGACCACTCCGATAGACCACTTCGGAGAAATATCCAGGCAAGCGAAAGCCATCAATGATCTGGGAGGTGGGTCGGTCTCTCTCTTTCATTCTCTGGAAACGAAAGCAGTAGGCGTTAAACTGTCAGTCATAGACTCGTCTTGGAAGAGCACATTAAAGGCCTTCATTAAAGGCCTTCAGGCCCCCTCTAAAAGATTGGCGAATGAGCTCGCGATCTCGGGCCCATCGGTCTGCACTGATTCGTCTAACCTTAAAAGGAGTTCGTTTTGAAGGTCGTCAAAGGAACCATAAAATTACGTTTTTTTTACCTTTGCCAGACGTCGTTTATATTACACCTTCGATGTTCACTGAACGCCAATCAGGCATCCGTTTTCTTCTCAGTTTATTAACTTATACGCGAAGAAATAATTAAATATCGAGTTTTTATTGCTTTCCAACTCCCCCCAAAAACAAGCCGCGGCGTAATTTTTATGATCGTGACGTACTCTCGCACCGGAACCGGAAGTTCTCTCGGCAGTAGGAGAATGACAGCGTTAGCAGCGAGCTGGCGGTTTGCCATTAGGTGTGACCACACGGTTCAACTGCGCTGATGGCGCCGATGCTACCCACATGTTTTCTGAATCGGCGTCTCTCATCACCGTGATAGCCATGGAGACATCGTAGCTGAGCGAAATTTAATTAGATATGTTGCGCTACAGCGACAATATCGATCTGGTCCTATACGCCGGCACGCCTGTTGGAGAGTGCGGTGAGTTTTCCGACGAAGTCTCCCGTTCCTAGTCAGGATCAGACGACAACGAGTAGCGACTCCAATGTATCGAATGTTCCGACCATACACGAATGATCTTAAACCGATGAGCCTGCACCAATGCTTCAACGTGGTTCCTCGAGTGTCAAGCGAAGAAACTGCAGCCGCTTATTTTGAATTTCCGGACTACACAAACTGTAATTCGGACACTTGAACCGAGCGCTTCAGCTGGGACTGGGTTCGTTGTGACCTCAGCGACCGGAACAACCGCTCTGCGCCGAGCGTACGCTCTCCTGCAACCGCTGGAACGAGCGCAGCAGGACGTCAGCACGACAGCTCCTTCTCCGCCGCCGTCGGTCGTTCCCGCGGTATCTCTAAAAAGGGGAACGAGCTGTCACTCACTCTTGTAGCAGAAAATCGACAGAATTTTCTATGGGCTCAAGCTGTATTAATTTTTCTTTTGCCAGGATAGGCTCGCAGGGCGGAGAGGATAGAAAAATAAAAGAAATCACTACTTCAATGCAAGACTTTGCCGATATTATAAATCTCGCCACATGCCTTTTCTATGATTGCAAAAGTCGATGTAATATTAGCAGCGATATAGCAACGTAGGAATATGATTTTGTGATCACATAGACCTTGGGAGAGTTCAGGAACTCTCAGACTAATCCCTTTTCTCGGGTGATTAAAACACGTCGAAATTCGCATCCTTTATACACGCCTCAAAAAACAATACGCATTAGTAATTCCTGGAACCTGAGCACACGCATGTATTGCGCAAAATAAGGAATAAGACAAAATAAGAAAGTGCCACTGTAGTCGACGTAAACGTACACGACAGCACCAGCGTTTTTTCTCTTGAAGATTCCGCCACAGCATCGCCTCACGAGTAGATGAATCTTCCCTTTTAGGACGTGCTGGGTTGTCAGCGTGACACACGACGAGAACTCAGTCAAGGATAGCACTCTACACGAAATGATGAACTTTCACCACGCCGACCCCGTCGACGATCCCCACCGACGCCATTTTTATCTGAAGATTGCAGTAACCGCGACCGGCGTGCAAAAAATTGTACGTTTTAGTGATTTATACAGCGTAAGGTCGGTCTGCCAGTAGGGGCGACACTGGTTTACACTGTAGATGAGAAATTTCGCAATTGTAATACGACTGCTAACCTGGGGTCTTTAACGCGCTCACGTAGTAGTGATACACGACCGCACGTTGGTACGATGCTCATCCAGATCGAAACGGGCAGGGGAGGGGCTTGAACCCAGGATCGCTGGCTGCTGCAGCGCGAGCTTTCGCTCCACGCGCGTCGAGCTGGGTGCAACGCGCGCGGCCGTGCCATTGGCCGGGCTCTCCTCGGCAGACGACGCTCATGGGTTAATAGCCCAGAAGAAGACTCATCTTCCTCTTGCTTCGTATACCTCACGATAGACGGCGCATTTCTCCAAGCATTATCAAATTCGGCAAATTTTGTCACTTTGGTTGTCAGAATATTTTTAGAGCGCAGCTCTTAGGCGCCCGTTTCCGGCTTGAGCGGCGTCGGCGTCGCCGTCGCCGTCGCCGTCGGCGTAATCAAGGTCACCCCAAGGTCACGTGACCTCTTCCAAGGTCACCCCAAGGTCACGTGACCCCCAGGTCACCCCGAGGTCACGTGATTCTTGAGGTCACGTGACCCCTCCCAAGGTAACGTGGTTCCTCCCAAGGTCACGCGACCCCTCCCAAGGTCACGTGACCTCCAGGTCCCGTGACCCCCGAGATGACGTAGCCCCCTCCCCGAGGTCACGTGACCCCCCCTCCCTCCCCCCGAAATCATACGACACCCCCCCCCCCCCCCGAGGTCACGTGACCCCCCTTTCCCCGAGGTCAGGTGACCCTCCCGCAGCATATTAAAGAATGAGGGGAGGAGGAGGAGGAGGAGGAGGAGGAGGAGGAGGTGTCTACCCTCCCCTCAGTACCCTTCCCTCCTCCTCCTCAAGAGCTGCGCTCGAATTCGGCGTTACACGGAGTTGTAACCGGCTTTCACGTTTTAACACATTTAAGAAACATTCGCCGGCTATTTATTATTTATGATCGCAGTACTGGTGAGGTAGGCTCTTATTTGATAGGCGACGTTGATTTGTCTGACGTGCTTTGGCACCGCGGATGCATCGCAGTGAAAATGCAGAGAGCTTCCTCTTTCATTTTATTTCGAAGGGAAAAATATATAAAAGAGTCCGCTTTCCTTTTAAAAGTTCTATGTAAAAAAAAAATTATTGGCTAATATATTTGTGTTTTAAAATTTTTTTTACATATTTTACAAAGTTCGGTGGAGGAAATTCGATTTCAAAAATTGTTTTATGGTCCCTTTAAGGTGCCCGTTTCACAGGAGTGTAAACCAGATTCTAAATTCTTTGTACGACAAGGATAGGAGAAGCGGTAAATGGACTACCATGTCAAATTGAACGTTGCCGCTAAATTCATTGCCAATCAGTGGACCAAGTTTTAGCCGGATGACTGCCAACACAGTGTTTTTCCAGGATTATGCTAGTTTTATGCTATCGCTGTGTAAAAGTTTAAACGATTGCGAAACAGCCTCGAAAATCTCGCGCAACTGAAAATATCGGTAAAATAAGTTCTGCAGCGAAAACTTGTTTTTACAGAAAGAAAAAAAAAAAAAAAAACGTAAACATATATGGCACCTGAAATCGAAAGCATGTATTTAATGGAACAATCTGCGCAATTTTCGAGCAGTAAATGCCCCCGTTTTCCGACAATATCTTTGAGGCGTTTTTCCATGCTTCGACTCTGTGTTCTTTTCGGCTGAATTTAAGTCGATGTTGTAGACGAGCAGCAAGAGCGGAGAAACTCTTTCTTAAGTTCTTATTTACACTCGCAAAAGAGGGAGACCATTCTTGTTTCTGCTGGGAGTAGCTCAGAGACGAGCTCCCGTGGAGTCAGGAGGAGAGAAGACAGCAAGAGCGAATGGAGAAAAAAATCTGGAAACCATTTTTTTTTTCTTCGGCAGTAGATGATTATGTTGTTCGGCCTTCACGGCACACTAATCCCTAAGAGGATTTTTATCAGTGTTGTATTTTCCTTTAAGCATATGTGCCCTTTGATATTTTCAAACAACACTTACTTCCCCCCCCCCCCCCTCGCACTTGCGTGCTAAATTAGAGTGCCAATGCATGGAAAATTGAAATATTTATTTATTTTTTACCTGGCTTCAACTTGTTAGTGTTTTACTGTGTAAGCAGCTACTTGACTGTGCAATGAAAAATTACTTGGGTGTCATATCTCTACAGAATTCAGTCATTTTGCGGGAACAGGTATGTATCCATGGGTCAAAGGCGCTATTCGGGAACACTTAGCAATAACGACGTCACTACTGCGCCTGCGGGATAGATGAGTAGAAGTGACCCCTCAAGACGACTCTCGAAAGTGCCTCGAGATCGTAACATTTATTGTTACGTATGTTTCATGTGTTTGCTTGCGATTTGTATTCCTCTTTTTTTTTTTTTGCACAGCCAGCTTGACCAGCAGATTGTAATATACCAATTAATATATAAATAATAAGTAAATAACTTGAAGGTTTATTTAGCCGCAGTCCCACTTTTTTTAATTCCTACTTATTTTGTGTACCGCTTAGGAAGAGCGGCCATTAACCGTGTACTGCTTGTAAAAGTCGTTGGAGTTTTGCTTGACTCCAAACTTATTTTTACCTCGCATGTGTCACATGTCTTGAGCTTTTGTTTCAGACTTCTCGGCTTAATCGCATGATTTAGCAAACGTTTTTCGAGGGTATATTTTCTGTTTGTGCTTTACCGGAGAATAGTTCTGGAACAGTCTTAGTATGAGTGCCTCAAAAAATATAGAACGTATACAGAAAGGTTTGCTAGAATTTACAGATATCTGAACTTGCAGCAAGACAGTGCTAGCGCGGCCTTGAATTTTTGTTTAAATGTATACACAGTTACTTCGACATTAGCTCTTTACTCTTATCTGTGCACCATCATATACCTGGAAGAGATGATCCAAATGTCAACTCCCTGAAACGCCGAATTAGAGCGCAGCTCTTGAGGAGGAGGAGAGAAGGGTACTGAGGGGAAGGTATACCTCTCCTCTTTCGTCCTCACCTCCTGATCCTGCCTGCAACTCCTCCCTCCGAGCGGTGTCGCCGTCGCCATCGGCGTAACCGTAAGGTCACGTGACGTCACCGGGGTCACGTGACCTCACGGGGGTTACGTGACCTCAGGGGGTTACGTGACCTCAGGGGGTTACGCGACCTCACGGTTATGCCGACGGCGACGGCGACGCCGCTCAAGCCGGAAACGGGCGCCTAAGACTGCGCTCTAAA